CACCCCTATTTTGCAAGCCCATGTTCTCTGCCCAGGAGCCCATGGATGGCGCAAACTGTTAAGCACTCGGATACTAACTAAAAGGGTGGAGGTTCGAATCCACCCAGAGGGGCCTCGGGAGGAAGGTCTGGCAAGCTACTTCTGAAAAATCAGCCACTGAAAACCCTATGGAGTACAGCTCTACTCTGACACACAAGTCAGAAATGACAACTTGTTTTGTCCTTGGCCTACCCCTTAAATGTTATGTGTCTCTTCCCTCGTCATAGTTCACACACTCCCTGGTCAGGCCACAGGCTGAAGACTCTGAGTCAGCATCTTTACTCTAGGTGTCTCTTGAGCTTCAGATCCACATATCCAACTGCCTCCTGGAGGACACTTACACAGGTACTTCAGTATCCCCAGAATGAACCCAGCCTCCTCCCCAGGGCTATCACTCCGAATGGCACCACAAGCCACCCTGTGCCCAAACCAGAAAGCTCCTGCTCCCTCTGCCCCACATTCATCAGCCCACTCAGCCCCATCATTCCAACCTCTTCAACTGCAGCTGTCCATCCCCTTCTCTCCACCACACACCCAGGTCCAGGCCACCATCATTTCTCACCTGGGCTACTGCAGCAGCCTCCTCACTGGTTTCCTGGCTTCCATTCCTGCCCTGCACCAATCTGCTCGCCACACTGAAGCCACAGGAGATGCTTCCAAAACACAACCAGGAATAATTTTTCTTGCATAAAATCCTCCAAAGGCTTCCTAATACCCTCAAGAATAAGGTCTAAATTTGTAACCTTCATGGTGTACATGGCCCCATGTGAGGCTGCTGCTGGGCCCCTCTGGCCTCATCTCTCAGCACTGCCCTGTGTTCCTGCTGCACCACACTCACTCTTAAACCACTGTCCCCTCTGCATAGAACACTCCACTCCCCTTTGCCTACTGACATCTATTCATCCTCCAGGCTTTGCGATTACCATCCTGTCCCCCAGAAAGCCTTCCTCAACCCCTCTCCAAACCCCAAAAGACTGGCTTCTCCTGCAGCAGCCCACTCTTCCATCCCCTATCAAACACCAATAACCCTTTGGGGTTATTGCTCACTTAGCTGCGTATTTCCCCCCAACTCAGCTCTGTGCAGGCAAGAACCACATCTAACTTATCACCACTGTATCTTTCAGCACATACCAGGAGTTTACTAGACATTGCTTCTTCATGATTTTACAAAATAGTCACACATTTCTAATGGCAGTACAACATTCCACTGAGTGACTGTATAAAAAACAACCCCACCACCACTGGAGAGTTGTCAGTTTTTCCCTTATGCACAATCTAAGATGAACACTCCTGGACAGTGTAAATGGTTAAGCGCTCGGCTGCTAACTGAAGGTTGGTGATTCGAGTCCACCCAGAGACACCTTGGAAGAAAGGCCCGGTGATCTACTCCTGAAATATCATCAGGCATTGAGAACCCTGTGGAGCACAATTCTACTCTGACACACATGGGGTTGCCATGAGTCAAATTCAACTCAACTGGCAACTGGTTAAGATGAGCACAAGATTTTTTTCATGTATTTTTTGTTACATACTTAGGAGAGATTTGCAGGAACGAAATAAAA